TAGCTTAGTTGTTTAAACAAGTTAGCTAAGTCGTTTTAACGAGATATTTAAGTTGTTTAAACGAGTTAGCTAAGTCGTTAAAACAAGTAAGCTAAGTTGTTATAACGAGATAGCTAAGTTGTTTAAACGAGTTAGCTGAGTTGTTATAACGAGAAAGATTAGCTAAGTTGTTATAACAAGTTAGCTTAGTTGTTTAAACAAGTTAGCTAAGTCGTTTTAACGAGTTAGCTAAGTTGTTTAAACGAGTTAGCTAAGTCGTTAAAACAAGTTAGCTAAGTTGTTATAAAGAGATAGATATTCTAAGTCGTTATAACAACTTAGCTAAATTGTTATAACAAGTTAGCTAAGTCGTTATAACGACTGAAAAATAAAACTCTACCCTGACACTAACCGGCTTCCGTAATTTTGAATCCCACGTCTCTTCATCAATAATATGTCAAAATATTTGGAAACCCGATTTAAATACTAGTATTTGGCGTAAAGGTCCAATCCGTTGTATAATCACTCATAAATTATTTCATTATTAAAAGTATCTAACGTCACAGTACCCAATTTGCACCGAGTACCTAAATTGCACATAATTATCAAAAATAGGAGCAGAAATCTAACAAGTTTTCTTAGAGATCAAATTATTATAATTTCTGTCGAGCCTGCGACTATTGTCGAAGAAAGCTCAACATATGGATAGTGATCCGGCGGCGGCGACGTTAACTAACTTCTTAAAAGCTTTATATTTTAGGTGGAAGACCTGGATGCTTCATACTTTATATAAAGATGCCTTATTTTACGAAGTTTCCGTCTGTCACATGTCCATTGTCCTTGACCTCATTTTCATGGTTCAGTGACTACTTGAAAAAAAGTTGATTTTTTGTAATGTTAATTTCTCTCTTATGAGTAATAGGATTACTATATTTGGTATGTGCGTACCTTGCAAGGTCCTCATGTCCCTCAGACAGTTTTCACTTGACCTCGACCTCATTTCAGATATCAGTAAACAAGGTTAAGTTTAGGTGGTCAAGTCCTTATCTCGGATACTATAAGCAATAGGTCTAGTGTATTTGGTGTATGGAAGGATTGTAAGGTGTACATGTCCAACTTGCAGGTGTCATCTGACCTTGACCTCATTTTCATGGTTCAGTGGTTATATTTAAGTTTTTGTGTTTTGGTCTGTTCTTCTTATACTGTATGCAATAGGTCTACTATTTTTGGTGTATGGAATGATTGTAAAGTGTACATGTCCAACTGGCAGGTACCATCTGACCTTGACCTCATTTTCATGGTTCAGTGGTTAAAGTTAAGTTTTTGAGTTTTGGTCTTTTTTTTCTAATACTATTTGCAATAGGTCAACTATATTTAGTGTATGGAAATATTTAATGATGTACATGTCAGACTCGCAGGTTTTATTTGACCTTGACCACATTTTCACGGTTCATTGCTCAGTGTTAAGTTTTTGTGTTTTGGTCTATTTTTCTTAAACTATAAGTAATAGGTCAACTGTATTTGTTGTATGGAAGGATTGTAAGCTGTATATGTCTGCCTGGCATGGTTCATCTGACCTTGAACTAATTTTCATGGTTCATTGGTCAATGTTTAGTTTGCTTTGTTAAGTCTGTTTCTTAGAAACTATAAGCAATAGGTCAACTATATTTAGTGTATTGAATGATTGTAAGGTGTACATGCATTTCTCGTTTGGTTTATATGACCTTGACCTCATTATCTTGGATCATGTTTAGTTTATGTGATAGTTGTGGTAAGATTTATATTTAGGACTATCAACATAATATCAATGGTTAGTAAAGAAGGCGAAACATTTCAGCGTGTGCACTCTTGTTATGATTTGACATTAGGCACGTCTTACAACATGGGTAAAATATACTAGTCAACAAAAGAAACGATACACACGTTTGAACTGAAGTTTATCCTCAAATATAATAAATAGGAAAAACTGTTAAATTATCCAATAATAAAGATTCATTTACAAAGCAAAGGCATATGATTAAAAGAACTTGACCAAATTGGAAAGTAACAAAGTACTGAGTTATTGAACACAAGGGTCAAAAATATTTTGGGAAAAATGATGGCAAAAGTCGGCACTTAATTTCGAAAATGAGAATTAAGCATTCAAATATCTACAAAGGCATTCAAAATTTTAAGCAGACCATGCTTAAGTTTAGAAGTTCAAAGTTCTAACATCGATTTTTGAATTCAGTTTAAGTAAAAAATACGATTTTTGAAATAACAAAAATTCCAAATTTCTTTTTCGTTTTTTTTTGCCTTAAAACAATGGTATTGATGAGAGAATAATTATATATAACACTCTGCAAAAAATAGACCAATAGGTCAATTATTTACCTCGGTACAGTGTTTCCAATTTCATTATATATCGAAAATACATTGCCTTGTATCGTTTCTTTTGTTGACTAGTATATATTCAAATACACACTAACCATTCACATGCTGTGACGTAGCGTACGGGGTTGGTTTTAGTTTTGATAACTTTAATTTGAATTATTTTTCATGCATTGTACTTAATTTATTTGGTGCAGCTCACAGCATAATTTATATGAGCGGTTTGCTTGATTTTCTACATATAGAACCGAAAAGCAAAAGCAGCACATATTTCTTAAAGTGCAGTTAAATTAAAACCGAGAAATAACATTTATTTATATTGATTGATTGATTGATTGATTGTTGGTTGTTTAACGTCCAGTGGCAAATATTTCATGCATGTTCAGGACGAGAACAAATTAACAATAAGTACAACAGGTAGGTCCGGTAAAAGAGGTCATCTGGGTTGCAGGTCGGGAAAATTTGGACTGTCACGGGAAATGAGGGTATATTGGATAGGGACAGAAATTTAGCCTTGCAACAGGCCACCTACGGACCCCTCAAATAGTTGTTGCAAGGGTTCTTAACGTGCAGAGAGCGTGACACTCTCTCTACACGAGGCATCGGATTTAACGTCCCCATTCTGACCGGACGTGGCTGCGTACTTGATACATCCCGCACAGACAAACGGACGCCCCACTTTGGCAAGGCTTTTACTGCCGGTCGGAAGAACACCTGTGGTGACCATATTTCTATTCCCCAGTCACCCTTGGGGACACATTTATTTATAAAATACCACCTTTGAGCAAAGATTGATTGATTGTTGGTTGCTTAACGTGCAGTGGCAATTATTTCATGCATGTTCAGGACAGTGGAGCAATGATATGTTCTCTTTCTTTTGACTGTAACAGGAATTTTTTATTTTTCTAAACCACTTGCTGTTTTTTTTTGTCCGCTTTTGATATTTTCTGGATAAAAAAAATATTAGTTGAAACGTTTATTTTATTACCTGTATTAAAGGTTGAGTATCTGTTGTTGAAAGCAAATTTTAAACTAATTGTCAAAATAGGTGCAATTTGGGTACCGTCACGTTGAGTGTTACATTTACCCTCATGATCACATATAGCCTGAACGTTTATACTGTGGTATCCTTTGCGGTTGACAAAGGACGGTTCATCTGGAACAGGTGCCTGGATCCTAACGTGGGTGCCATCAATGCAACCTATAACTCCTGGAAATCCACCATTTTCATACAAACCATTTTTAATCTCTCGCTTTCTGTCTTCTGATGGCCATTTAATGAAAGTGTTTAGAGGCAAGAACTGTGGAAACTCTAGTGATGCATGATTTATCTACCCCGACCGTGTCACCAACCACTTGCATGAAACTCCCCGTTGCATAATAATTCAGGGCAATAAGTTCGATGGGAATACATAGTTTCATGTATACATCACAAAAATAATAAATGCATAACAAAATTATATATGCGAATTTTTAGTTTTACAAATAGTACAACTGCGACAATCCAAATAAATTTGCGTAAACTATAAAAATTCCGAAATTTTGATTAAAATTATGGGTTCAGTGTGTCCCGGAAAAAGGGTCCTGACTTTTTAAACGGTGCCACATATTCACCGAAGTAACATTTTATAACGTAAACCTGGGAACAGTAATATGTCCCTGCGTAAACAAAAGTAAACACAATCTAGACAGTATAGAAATGGTCAAACTGTTCATCGGTAACATCAGTCTCGTAAAGTGAAGAGAAAAAAATAACACTTAAATGTACGTGCAAGGTTGGTACAGCGAGGAGGCACATAAAGTAAGTAGGCCAAATATTGCGGTGTTCATCGAATGTTTAAAGGGGCACTAGCTACGAGATGTAAAAGAAAATATAAAATATGATTTTTTTTTGTTCAATCATTAATGAAAGTGGAATAGTGAAATAATAATTCGCTTTTAGCAGCCAGTATTGTGTAATTTTGTCAAAATAAGCAAATAAATATTGATGATGAATTATTCACTTGCCAGTGAATAATTCGACCTCATTGCATCCGTATTCCTGTGAACTTCAATTTAACCCCTCAGATAGAGTTGGATAACGCATGAACAGTGTGCATGTTAGATTATTTAAAGGAAAAGAATGTCAACATTGAAAGTAAACAAATGTAATTCATTTAATTGACTGATTCGATCCTCAAAATAATCATTCTTATACAGGTGGAAATGATTATTAACATATATTTTTAATCTATAAATGAAATTAAATAAACCTAGAAGAATCCAATTGCACGAGTTGTGCTATCTATTTATATCTTTATTTATGTTTATATCCCTTATATGGGCATCGTTGGTTTTCGTGAGGTCAACTCGACAGATAATTAGATGGCGTCTAGGCTAAAATACACACAGGGTTGCATCAATGTTTTCAGTCTCCACTTAACATGTCATGGCTATGCTCACATAAACTTTTAAATGGGAGCTCAGTTGAACTTAGTGCAAATGACAAACAATGATCTCCAACTTGACACTCTCTACTTGTGTGTACCTGAAACAGTTTGGAAGGCAAATTAATTCAAGTTTCAAAGCAGTGTATAAAACATTTAATAATTTTCAGGAATCATATTTTGAAACCAGTTTTTGACTTAAGAGTTATGCTTCATAAACTTGATTCATGAAAATGAAACATTAATAAGATTTAAACAATTTCTATTATTTTCAATGTCTTCCTGGGACTACAAATATAAAATTCATATTTGAAAAATTTGAAAATGATAGTGTGCAAACCTTAAGCTCAGACTTCAGATATCGCTTGGCATTTTGCAGATTTTCTTGAACAGATTTGGATTCAGCATTGTTCAATCCCAGTTTATGCACTACAGACTCTAAATCTCTGAAGGCCCTACAACCTTCCATTACAAAATTGTCCAGACCTTCAATACTACGCCTAACTAATGCTGCACAGTCTTCTAACAGTTTGTACAATGTACTAGAACCTGAATAAAAAGATTTAATTTAAGAAGCAAGTCATATATATGACTAGTAAAATTAATTGAAATCAAACCAATAAAAAACACAAGAAGATGTATGTTGAAATGTCTCGCCTGCTTACTTTATTATTGACTTTATATTGAATTTGAAAGTCCTTGTCTAAGAAAACTGTTTAATTATATTTTTTATCTCTATCTGTAAACCTAAATTTGTTCTTATTCAGATCATATTTTATGTGAAATCTCTGCTTACTTTTTATAGTTCTATCTCTGAAATTATATTTCTGTAATCTGTTAAGATATTGGTAATTATGCTAAATTTTTCTATGTTGCATTATATTCAATTATGTTTCTTTTTTATACATTTAAAACAACCTTACCTAATGGTTTGATATTTTCTTCTTTGCATAAAGCTGTATATTGTAATATTATCGTTGAAGGGGCAAGACTTCTTATAACACTAGGTATTTTTATAATTTCCCCATTTGTTAATTTCAAAGTCTTCTCTCCAAACGGTTGATCCTTAATAATGTGTCCAGAAGTTATAAACTCAATGAAGTGTTCAAGTTGATCAGTATCAAAATTTTCCCTGGTCTGTTTGGTTTTCATTACAGGCTCTCCAGTTCCAAACTCCTTGCAGTGCTTCTTTGCAGCCTTAAACTTGTACTGAGTTACATCTGGAATCAGCTAAAAACAAACAAATAAATAAATAAATATAAAAAAAGTAAAACGCGATGTGTCCACTTGTAGAGTCATAATCATGAACATCATGTAGGTCAAGTTAAACTATTTTAAGTACTGGTCTTTTTTTTTTCAATTCAAATCCACATCCACAGACACCATTTCTTTTTTATGTGTAATTGTTTTCATGACAATATTTCAAGATATTATGTTTAAAACAACAAAACTTTACATTAATTAGGGCCCCGCCGAATGGCGGCTGCCCTATAGTGATCAGTCTGTCCGTCCGTCTGTCCTTCCGTCTGTCCGTCCGTCCGTCCGTAAAAAATCGTGTCCGCTCTATATCTAGAGAACCGTTATGATTTCAAAGTTTATACTTGACATGTATATCAACCAACACCAGAGGGTGTGTCATAATGTATGTTTAACTTCCTAGGTCAAAGGTAAAGGTCAAAAACTTTGGTTTTAGTTGACAACCCCATGTCCTATGGTAAAGATCGTGTCCGCTCTATATCTTGAGAACCGTTATGATTTCAAAGTTTATACTTGATATGTATATTAACCAACACCAGAGGGTGTGTCATAATGTATATACAACTTCCTAGGTCAAAGGTCAAGGTCAAAAACTTTGGTTTTAGTTGACAACCCCATGTCTTATGGTAAAGATCGTGTCTGCTCTATACACTCAAAAAAAAAGTTTACTTAGTAATGTTTTTTTACTTAAATCAAGTAATATTATTACTTCCATTGATTACCAATTACTTAATATGATAGGATAATTGTTTGAAATTACTAAGTAATTCTGAATTACTTGTATATAGTAAATAAATTACTAACAATTTTCAAAAGCCATTGTTTTAAGTAAATTTAAGTAATTTTCTGTTTGGTTTATCAGATTGATTTCCTAAGTAATTGTAGCAACTTTAATTTGAGTAATGTATATACTTAGAATTACTTAAAACTAGTGATGTATTATCTTTCTTAATCATATTCGAACCATTTAAATTACTTAGCAATTATCACTAAGTAATTATCCAAAATGTTTTGTTTTAGTCATGCACATGCAGAGGGTTTGACCCATCACACATGTTTAACCCCTCCATATTCTTCAAGTACAAGTCCCAAGCAATTAAGTCATCCAGGAGCCTGCAAGTATAATTGAGTGGTTGTCGTTTTTGCCGTTTCTCATATTTGATACTGTTCATTGTTTTGCATATATTTTGTTTTGGTGTTGTGCATGCAGTTACACCACTGTATAGAAGAGGAGGGTTAGCAACTTCTAACATGTTGAACCCCGCCACATTCTGTATGTGCCTGTCCTATGTAAGTCAGGAGCCTGTAATCCATGTATTCATGTAGTGGTTGTTGTTTGTTACATGCTGTATATATCATATTTTTTATTCATTGATTGTTTTGCTTATAAATACAGGCTGTTAATTTTCTCTTTGGAATGGTCATTCCAGTGTCTTTTATAGCTTGCTATGAGGTATGACATGGGTTTTTGCTCATTGATTAAGGCTGTACAATGACCTATAATTGTTAATTTCTATGTCACTTCGTTTCTTGTGCATGGAGGGTTAACGTTGTCTCAGTGGCAATCATACTACATCTTCTATTTTCATAACGTAGAAATTCATAATGTTCATTGATACAATGCATGTATTAGCATGATTAGAACAACTTCTACTTATTTTATACTTATAATAATGATAATACTGTTTACATCTTTAAAGTAAATAAAGTCATGTCAAAAACTCAGTTATATTGCATCATACTGGTATTTTAATGTAATATGTATTAAAGAGCTATTTACAATGTACATGTATACATGCATGGTATATGACATTATCTTTCAACCAACTACCTCATGAAAGTATGCATTTTTTTTTAATTTACAAACAATATAAAGACCCTTTCTTCTGTTTTACTACATCTGTCATGTCATAGGTCACTGGAATATGCACATTTTCATCTAATTTATATGCATGAAGAGGAAATGGTACAAATATACTACTGACTCTAACTAATTCAGTGTTATGTTCTTGTCTAGGTGGTTTCACAATATGTGACTGGGTTGCTTCATCAAAGCAAATTGTTTGGAACATTTTTAATTCAAAATAAACAAACTGTTCTAGATTTTCATTTTTTTCTTCTTGTGTGACCAAGATGGTACATAATTGTCCAAACTCGGGTAGACCATCACTTTCACCAAATGCAACAACACATTTCTTGGAAATAAATTTTTGACCATTTATAACAATCCATGAAATATAATGTAAGTGTTTAATACTGTTTATTTCAATTCCAAAAAATGCATTAAGTGTGTTTTTTCCTTCTCTTAAATCAGATGGTAGAGATCTTCCAATGTTTAATTCATTTTGAAAAATTGGATGGTAACTATCACTTAGATTAAGAGCACATTCATACATGGCTGAACGCTCTGATAAAGACTTTTCAAGATTTTGGAAGTTTCTGGAATTTCCTGCGCTTTCCTTCAAAAACTGGTGCTTGCTTTCAAAACGCATACACCATACACGTACAAGCGGACCATATTTTTCAATAATGTATGGCAGATGTCCCATATAATGCTGCTTTGGCATAATATTTTGGTCTGGAAACAAATGTTTGAATTGTCTAAGGTGACTAGGAATAAGAACTTTCAACATCTGAATTGTCTCCACACTTATAACAGGTGCCATAATTATTTGAACTATTTCACAAAGTTCTGTCAACAAATGTACATATTCATTACAACTATCAACATTTAATTGCTTGACCAAAAATATTGGTAACAAACGAAAGAATATAATCATACTTGATGATGACTGTTTCAAGGTCATAGTATCATCATCATCAAACAGTTTTTCTGGTATGCAATTTGGTTTACATTCTTTATGTTTATATCCATAAGGAAAGTTTTCAATTACATAATTCAACTGTTTAATTGTGCAAAGGCCATCATCAAACAATTTAGCAAGTACAAGTTTTGTTTCATAGATTACGACTCCTTCAAAAAGAATGTGCATGATGTCCTCCGGAATCATAGTGATCAAATTAAAATGAGGAAAGTCACGTGCAGTACTCCTTCTTGTAATGCCATAGGCTGATGATAATCGTTTTCTCATTCCAATAGTTTGAGCATTTAACATTTCTTCTACTTGCTGATCATACCTTGGTAAAGATCGTAGGATAAAGTTTTTCTCTGCAAAGTGAGCCTGCATAACATCAAATGTACATTCACAATGTCTACATTTCTGATAGGCAAATCCAACTCCTTCTTTAAAGCCTGCAAATTCATGGGCAGCAAGGGTATCTCCACAAAAACCGATCAATGCACCTTTTACAAGAGTCTGCTGTTCATTAAAGTTCATTAGGACACCACTCTCAAAAGCTACCAAGTCATCATTTATCCGTTGCAATACAGTATTCATTCCATAAGTTTTTATGTTTTTTCTTTTAATTATTGCAACTAAGCGTATTGATGGCGTTTTTGAACGATATTCCAAGGGTAAATTGAGCAAGCTGTAATAAAAGACTCCCAATTTATGAACTCCTGCTTTTTTTCCTAGTGGGTTGCAGATTTCAATGTCATCAAAATATAACAAAATTTGAAAAGCATTTGGATGAACACTAAACAATGCATGTTCACGGAAAATTGAACCATCAGATACATCACAATAAAAGTTATTATCAAACGGATGTGTTCTTTTATCAAATACTAATCTGTATATGTCCTTATTTTGCAACAGTTGCTCAATACTTTTACATATTGGTATATACCAAAATTTATCCTCCTTTACGTCCAAAACTCTTTTTTTGTTTCGTAAAACATACTTCAGTTGTTCACCCAGTACAACTTCTTCAGGTGCCTGGAAAATTTGCAAAAAAAGCCAACATGAAATTATTGTCAATAATAAATATAAGAAAAGTGAGAAGTTCGTATACATGTACTAAGAATAAATTAGTGGTCATTACACATTCTTACAGTAGGAAGATAAAGCACCTGATTACATGAATTCCATACTTTCTGAAAAAAAGTCATATGCAGCTTATATTATCATGCTAATATGAAAATATTATTACGTTACTGTAACGTCGTATTCAAATAGAGTTAGCTGTACATATGTCTGTGTTGGTTATTTGTAGAATGAATTGCCTATATATAATAAGTGCTTCCTTGAATATCAACCAAAAATTTTTGCTTTGTCATATTGTTGCAAGTTTCTCTTCAACTACTAATTTTATGAAGTTTGAATCTCCCTTTAATACATTTTGCCCTTTTTTTTTTAAATATATATGTATGTACATTAAAAAAATTATGCCCTGATAGTAATAAGAAAACTTACCACATAAAAGTAATTCTGTTTTATATATTTCTGTCTAGCATATTTAGTTTGTAACCCATCAAATGGTAATTCAAAGTCATCAAACTGCTGTTGCAGTCCAGGAACAGTGTCTGCTCCAATTCCAGCTTGTTCCAGAGTATTTTTGATTTTATGTTGTAAAATGTCAACTGTTTGTCTTACAAAACTATCCACACCTGTTGCAACTGTATGTGCTGTAGTCTAAAATTAAATGAAATAAACAATTTTAGTCAAATGTCCGCTTACATTATCCATATACTACTAAATAAACATATTCTAATTTGTTAGCCAGCATGACGTAAAAACAATGAATCAAAGAATTCAACTTTATATCATGTATATAGTACAACTAATATTTTTTAAGATATTGGCCCCTGTCCCAAGTCAGTAGCTTGTAGTTAAGTGGTTGTTGTTGGACATGTCTGTCATATATGTTTTTTTCTTAAATTGTTATGTTATAAATTAGACTGTTAGTTTTTTCAAATGAATTATTTCATATTTTTCATGTCAGGGCCTTTCATAGCCAACCACACTGAATGGGTTTTTCACATTGTTGAAAGCTGTGAAGTTGTCTCATTGGCAATTCTTCCACATCTCCTAAATTTTATATCAACATTATTTATAGTGCTCAGCTGTATGTATCCTATAGTATAAAACATGTTCATTTAGAGTTTAACAACTGTAAATTCAGAAATTATTGCGATGTTTTTATTATTGCAAAAAATGCGACAGGGTTATAATAGCAATAATTTAAAGTCGCATTTTGAAGTGTTTTATATAAATCATTTAAATAAAACAAGAATCGCAAATATTAAAATCGCATGTAAGTTTAAATTTACAAATTCGCAATTATAAATGCATGCAATAATTTCTGAATTTACAGTACTTACTTCTTTAACACCATGAAATTCTTTCAGGTTTACTATAAAATTGATAGGCTTTTCTTTCTGGTGAAAATCTTTGTATGTTCTTTCTTCATGATCTTGTTCTATCACCTGTAAAACAAAAGAGTAAATATTCCACTTGTTCAGAAGTGTAGTATACTGGGGTACCTTAAGATGAACAACAGTAAAAATGCTTGCCCAAATGATGATAACAGTAATTTATGGTGCATGACGATAAAATGTACACTTTCTTTTAGACAATACAAAATTTGACTGATTTTGACGACTCGCATTAAATTTTTTTCCCAAAAAATAATGCTTACAATTATTTAAGTCTTATGACGAAGCGCCATAAGGATGAAGGATATTTTGATGAATAACGGTAACATTTTAAGAATCAGAGTAAAATTTTCACCAATCTGACGCAAACGGTAGCTAAAAATTGCTGATTGATGCCTGACGGTAAAAGGCATTACTGCCCTCTTACAGGGCTTTTCATATAAGAGGGGGGTCGGAGGGGTCCTGATCCCGAAATCCCGTGCTTAAAAACATGAAATCCTGAGGTCCCGAATTAAAAAAAATTTAAATCCCGACATCCTGAAATTCGAAAGAAGAATTCCCGGATCCTGAAAGGATCAATCCCGAAATCCCGAGCTTAAAAACACCCTATCCTGATGTCCCGAAAAAGGTCCTGCGACCCCCAACCCCCCCCCCCCCCATCATTAAACAAAAGAACTTAAAAAATGTATGTAATGACACGGGTTATGTTGGCATGACACGGGTTATGTTCTTCTCATATATTTTATGACGGTATAATACTAAACCTCAGGAGGGATTGTGCCTGATATTCATATGATGAAGACATAATCTTTCAATCAGTTTAATTGAGGTCTGGAGCTGGCATGTCAGTAACTGCTAGTAGTCGGTTGTTATTTATGTATTATTGTCATTTTGTTTATTTTCTTTTGTTTCCTATTCTGACATCGGACTCGGACTTCTCTTAAACTGAGTTTTACTGTGCGTACTGTTGTACGTTTGTTTTTTCTACATTGGCTAGAGGTATAGGGGGAGGGTTGAGATCTCAAAAAACATGTTTAACCCCGCCGCATTTTTGCGCCTGTCCCAAGTCAGGAGCCTCTGGCCTTTGTTAGTCTTGTATCATTTTTAGTTTTAGTTTCTTGTGTATAATTTGGAGTTTAGTATGACGTCCATTATCACTGAACTAGTATACATATTTGTTTAGGGGCCAGCTGAAGGACGCCTCCAGGTGCGGGAGTTTCTCGCTGCATTGAAGACCCATTGGTGGCCTTCGGCTGTTGTCTGCTCTATGGTCGGGTTGTTGTCTCTTTGACACATTCCCCATTTCCATTCTCAATTTTATTATAATGTATAAATTAATTGAACAGATTATTAACAGGTAATTAATTCAGTGATTAATAAGATTTCACATAGTTAAATAAATAATTGGAAAAATGTACCTCGTTTGCATTATGATCAGCCAGATTAGCAGCTGGTAACTCATTGTGTGCTTCAATTTCAGTTTGTGGTAACTGTATGTTCTGGTCATCATGGTCATTGGCATTGTCAATTTCCATTTCTTTCTCACAGTCACACTCAGATGTCCTTGATCGTGTACCATTGTGTAGTTCATTTCCTGATGATTGTTGATTTAAAAATTGTATTGTCTGTGAAACTGGTCTGTCACCGACAGAATCAAGCGAGTCTTGGTGATTTCTAAAGAATTACTTCTTGTATATATATTTGGACAGCCGTCTACGTTGCAAGAGATACGAAAAGTTCCATCACAATGCTCGTTTCGTATGTGATAAACAAGTAGTCTCAGTGTTAATGCATAAAATGAATTGCAAATAACACATTTAAGAGGCATTTCAAATCATCATTTCAGTTTTTTCAAACTACGATATTTCTAGGGTTATCGTTCCTAACTTCATTCTTAATCATCCGACTGTTTGAATTAAATCCGTTATATATTAAGAGTAAAGCTTTTTTGCGATAAAGAACTACCGGTTACCGCTCTTTTCAAGCACCATAATTTCCCGAATCATATCATTGTCCATCTGCAGAAAATCGTACAGGCACACTCGTTACAGTAACGATGGAAGAGCTAGAATGTTTAGACGCTGAGATGTTTTTGAAGTGGGTCAAAGAAAATACTCAAGACGACTTTGACGAAGGACTCCGGATAATTAATGGTATAATCTCTTTATTGTCTATGACTATGTGGTTAAATTATTATCTGCAGTCAAAATTTCCATAACGCAGATACACTCCAAAATTAAAAAATTAACAGAAACTATTGTGTATTTGCAGGAACAAAAACAAATGAGATAATGTAATGGGTGCAACAACTGTACAGGGTTAGAATCTGGTATTAAATTTTAAAATCTAGAATTTTAGAAAATTTTTGTAATGGTGAAAAATATTTCCATGGATTTTTTTTTTACATCTTATGTCTTCCATAGCAGTGTATCCCAAACTCTGTCTGACCGACAAAATGTCAGACAAAAAGTCATTCGGACAGACAGAACTTTTATGATTTTTTGGTTGAATAGATAGTATTAAAGATCAAATTTTTTTTCGGTCAGGCAAACCCTAACAGTTTGGCACAGACTGCCATAGGGGGGACAGAATATTTCCGGAATAGCCCAATAGGGTATAGGGTCATTTTGCCCTACATGTTAACACTGGGTCTGTTCCCTCTGAGTTCATTGACCATAGAGTCTGTTCGCCCTGGTTTCGTTCTAAAAATCTGGGTCTGTTCGCCCGAAAACACATTCGTGCCCATTCTCGGTTGCCCCCTTTCACTTTCGCACCCTTCACATTCACACCTTTTTTATGGTTTTATCAAGGATTTGTATAGTAAGACATTTTGTATTTAATAATTTTGTAATCGAGTTGTAAGATAAATGTTTTGGTTAGTGAACATATTGCTATAACTTTTCATTAATACACAGTTAGATTCAGTATACATTTATACAAGAACTCCAATAATTTAATTTTTGATGAAATCAAACTAAGTTTAATTATGGACCCTTTGGATCTCAAAATTTTTTTTGCAGTGGTATAAAAAATCAAGTAATTCAACTGGAATTTGATCCAAAAAAATTGGGTGCGAACAGACCTAGGGAGCGAACATGCGAGGTGCGAAAGTGTATTGGACGCGAACAGACCTGATACCTTGTCCTAACTTTTATAAAAAAGTTTTCATATTAAAAATATCAACGTTTAATAAACTTACTCAGATCATATTTATTTCTCAAATTTCATAAAACACTAGGAAGTTTTTAAAAATCATGGCTTGTTTTGGAGCATTAATTGTTCATAATAATAAAAACAGCATTTTGTTATGAAAGAGATTACCCTGTCATCACAACAAAGTTTGAAAATAATAGTAAGCTTGGAATGAGTAAAAACAATGATGATGTACGAAATCGTAAAACATAAATAGGATTAATAAGTTCATTTATTTTAATATTATACTGCATAAATGGTTTTTCTACTTTTTGTCAGAATAGATTTTTGACCTCAATTTCACGGTCCATTGAACATAGAATTCAAAACGATAATGCCAGTGGGGCATCCCTGTACTATGGACACATTCTTGTTTTATATTTAAATCCAACGTGTTAATTCTGTTAGTAACCGTAAAAATGTATACCCAATCCTTAATTCCGGATAATGATAATAGAACCTATCTACAGTATTTAGTGTTAATATGATGTTTTCAAATAATAAACTGAGGAACAGCACATAAAAAATGTATGCCTTGCATTTGACACAAATTTTATTAGCTTCATATACATATATAAATGATTTCCTTTCAGAAAACAAAATTAATGGACATATCTTCATGTCCCTTACAGACAGGGATTTAAAAGACTTGTTTCCAGAATTCATGATAAGAAAAAGGATCAGAGATCTTCAAATTACAGAACAGGTATATGTATTATATTATTTCTTGTTGATGTGTGTTTAATTTTTTTATATTATATTCCATGTACTGAATACAGTTTAATTTCCTACTAAAGCAGAGGGCCATTTTGTGTTCCAGACACTATTCCCTTATATCAAACTTTTTTTTTTCAACAAAAGTACATAATAGAATATTTTTATTCACCAAATTAGGGCCCCAGGAGGGCAGACAGCAAACAAACAATATTATTTAAGACATGAATTAGTCTTGATTTTGACTTTTTGTCGGGGTATTCATAATACTTTTTTTTTATCCATCGATGTAGTGCCATTGAAAATTTTGTCCACTTACCCCTACTTTTCTATTCAGAATTTTATTACATATTGTTTAAAAAGCCATATTTGAAAATTATATTTTTTCATTGTTGTTAAAAGACAAAAGTTGAAGGTGCCAATGTTGACTATATGGAAAATCGAGAGAAAGTCCTTTCCCACCAAATTGTCTATGGCTTTTATCTGGAAAACAAGGACATGGATCCTTCATTTTCCTCTGCTTTTACAGTTCTGATAACTGATATATTAATTATTTAATAGAGTCTTTTAAAAAGATTGTTATTTTGAAATAGAATAGCAAACATCCTTTCAGTATCATTTTTATAAGCCCGTTTACGGAACGTATTATGGTATACCGTTGTACGTCTGTCGTCAACATGTCGGACATTAACTCATAAACGCTTTTACCAATTTGCTTAAAACTTTGGTGAATTGTTTATATCTATTGACGTGAGCTCCCTTTCGTTTTTTATAAATTTTAGATTTTACGTTTCCGAGTTATGGGGTTTAATTCATTAAAAAAAGGGGGATTTTCCAGTTTTTCGGACAATAACTCAAGAATGCTTTCACCAACTTGCAAGAAATTTTGGTTAATTGTTTATATCTATTGACATGAGCTCCCTTTGGATTTTTATAAATTTTAGATTTTACGTTTCTGAGTTATGGGGTTTTATTCATGAAAAAAAGGGGGGATTTTCCAGTTTTCGGACAATAACTCGAAAATGCTTTCAGCACTTCTCATGAAACTTTGATGAATTGTTGATATCTATTGATGTAAGCTCCCTTTAAAATTTTAGATTTTACATTTCCGAATTATGGGGTTTATTCATTAAAAAAGGGGTGATTTTCCAGTTTTCAGACAAAAACTCAAAAATGCTTTCAGCAATTTGAATGAATCTTTGGTAAACTGTTTATATCTATTGATGTAAGCTCCCTTTAGAATTTTATAAATTTTATTTGTTTATAGTCTGACAACAGATTTACTAAGTATTGCGCAACAGCACAGTGTATTGCACAACAGCAAGAAATCTTGAATTGAATATAAATTCAATTCATATAACCAACTTCAAGTTCTTTGACTACATTTATTCAGAAACCTATAATAGATGTATGTCAAATATTTAATTACAATCCAAATTCAGACCTGTATCAAGCTTGAATATTGTGTCCATTTTTGCCCCAACTGTTCAGGGTTAGACCTCTGCGGGCGTATCCAGCTGCGCTCAGCGAAGCAGTTTATTGCAATTGGAATGACAGTAGTCGATTACTTTGTTTTTAGTTTTAAATTTTATCAAAAAGGGGGAAAATGTTATGGCCAAAACTAACAAAAGGGGTTAAGAAAATGTATTTTATTTCACTGGCCTACATGTATGGAAACCATATCTGCATTTGTCTAAACCAAGGGATGGTTGCTTACTTAATGTCAAGTGGCAAAAAATGTACTTCATGCATATTCAAGACACGATCAATCGATTGAATGTTACTTGCTTTATGTCGTGACAAATTCATGTATTTCATGCATGTTCAAGAAGAAATTAATAATATGATTATTATCTTTGCATCTATATTGAAACAGTTTTAATCGTACATTTGATAGATACATTTTTAATTTGCTTACCATAATTTTGTTGATTATCTCCCCTTTTTTAGCAGAAAAAACAGCAAAACAAAGAAGTAGAAGATGCCAATTTTAGCACACCACCACCGAAAAAGATAAAGACTACAGAAACTGTTACCTGTGTAACACCACCTGCTTGTAGAAACGCTGAATCACCTGCCAGCACAAGTAGTAGCAGAAATTCACCACTACTCAGAGTGTTGACCAAATGTAATTCCACTTTGAGGACCTCAGATGAAGATGTCCATACTGTTAATATTCCTCTGTGTGGTATTCTAGCCAACCCTACAGAGCACACAGAGAAAGAGGTGGATACAGCCAGAGTAAAAATGATTCGCCTGTGTATGGATTCACTTATAAGCTTGTGTGGCGATAGACCAAATGAACTAGACACCATTCATTTGGCAAGATCACTAGCATCACAGTATAGTATCCTACGGGATGACTCAACAAAACCAGCAGGGAACAATTATGTAATTTTATGGATTGGGTTCTGTAAGAACCAATACAGCTGCATCATGTGCATGTAAGCATGTAATAACAAATTTAGAATAGTTTGTGCATAGCTACTAAGGCTATGTTCTATATAATATGGGGGGTCACACTTGTTTTTTTTAAATGGTTAATGTAAATATTTTTCAAACAGGCAATGAACTGGCTTTATTTTAAGGTGTTAATCGCAAAAGATGAAAGCATGTCTAAATAGGAGGATTTCAGAGACATTACGACAATATCCAAAGATCTTTAAATTAAACAGAAAGTCGTGTGTAGTGTTGTCAGGTCCTTGTGAGCGAAGAATGGATTATGTATTTTTAACTTGGGTGTGCAACTTTGTATATTAACAAAAAAAATCTAAATACATCATAGCTAAATATAAGATCATTTGATGCTTGTCCATTGTTTAACAGAAGTCTCAGACATGAAATACAATTATATAATGATTTTACAGTTTCATGATTTGATAGCTTATATTTATTACATAAGTTGAATAGTTATTTTTATTTTCAAAGATGTAGTGCATGTATTGTGAGGTAACTCTCTAAGTCTTCTGAAACTGAAGTACATGTACATTACATGTAAATCATATTAGTAACATGGCCAATTTCACTTAATCCATACATACAACAATGTTTAACAGGGCATTAATGATTCAGGATTGATACATGTTGAAATTTTCTATATTAACATATTGTCTTAACTTTGTCTGCATCCATGGCACATACTGTTGATAACTTTGTCATTTAATTTGTTTTTCCAAACTACAAATTTAACACTAACAAAAATAGGCATGTTTTTTGTCGAGCCTTCGACTTTTGTCGAAAAAGCGAGACATCGCGATCCTACATGTCGTCGTCGGCGTCCACAAATATTCACTCTGTGGTTAAAGTTTTTGAAATTTTAATAACTTTCTTAAACTATCCTGGATTTCTACCAAACTTGGACAGAAGCTTGTTTATGATCATAAGATAATATTCAAAAGTAAATTTTATAAAAAAAAAATTCTATTTTTCCATATTTTACTTATAAATGGACTTAGTTTTTCTGCCAGGAAACATTACATTCACTCTGTGGTTAAAGTTTTTGAAATTTTAAGAACTTTCTTAAACTATCTTGGATTTGTACCAAACTTGGACAGAAGCTTGTTTATGATTAAAAGCTAGTATCTAGAAGGAAATTTTTTTAAAATTTTGTTACATTTTTTCCGTATTTTACTTATAAATGAACTTAGTTTTTCTTCCAGTTAACATTACATACAGTCTGCAGTTTAAGTTTTTAAAACATTTATTAGATTCATAAACTATCCTGGATTTTTACCAAACTTGGACAGAAGCTACTTACAATCAAAAGATAGTATAGAGAGGAATATTTTTTTGTTTTCATTTTTGTTGAGCCTGTGATTAACATCAAAAGTAGGCGAGACACTGGGTTCTGCGGAACTCTTATGAATTTTTTTTATTAACAGAACTTTAGGCCAAGTAAAAAAGATTGTTGGTTTCCTCAAACTCTACCGGGTTAGTTAAACTCCCCAGTATTGGGTAAATTTATTTTTTAACAAATGAAAAAAAAGGTGAAGACTAATGTAGGCAATTAATTGTTTATAATGGTAATTATCTTTTGATTTCTTCTTAAATATTTAATTTATCTTTCGTATGGGGAAACAAACAATTAATGTTAAATTTAATTAGCATTGCATGTTGAAATGACAGACTGATTCCCTGTTAATACTGATATATTTACAGGGCTGTGGAAATTCATCAGCAAACTAAATAACATAAATGCCATTTTTGTTACATTTCAAAAAAGTTAACTGTTACATTCTTTATTGAGGAATCATTTGCAAATTCAGAACCAAGAACTTTCTTCTAGTAAAATTAACAGTTAAGTTAACCAATTTAGACAAGTGCCCACATCAAATCAGAAATATCCACACTCCTATTAAGTTGAATGTTTTAATTAATTAACAGTCAAAGAAAAAACTTAAGTACAATGATATGCATAAAAACATGTACATGTACTTAAAATTTAGAATTCAGCAATCTGCAGTTGTAAAGTTGTTTTTTTTTGTTCACTTTGTGAAGAATACATTGAACCATTCTTATTACAGATGTCAACTCAAATATAAATTTTACTTTTTTTGCATTTTAAAAGAATTTCACATTATTTTTCAGCGTGCTGTTAAAAAATTCTTGGAGAGGAGGATGTACAACATCACTCCTGCAAGGACCAACAGGGGAAGGAAAAGAAAAAATAATGAAAATAATGGTATATATATATGTTATCAGTATGCCCCCCTCATGCAGTAATGGTTTATTAAGTTTACAAACATATGTTTGTTATTAAATCAGTTTAAGATGAACTGATAATGCTAAGTCAATTATATTTAGTATGCATATTCATTGGCATTTACAAGTATGGTTTCCATGGAGTTTATAATAAGCCCCACTTCCTCTTCCTGGGTCATTGACTTTGAAACTTTTACATAGTTACTATATGTTTGTGTTCAGGTTTGTTTAAAGAGAACAACTTCTATGTCAATGGTATTTGGTATGCAGTTGTATTGGCATCAGCACATCTCATTTACATGGAGATTATTTAGCCATGTACTGTCAGTCATTGTTCATTGACTATTCAAATTGAATATTTGCACAACTTATGTCACATGTTAAAGTATTGCATGCATTTTTAATTTCAACATTTGCATACTCAGAATTACAAAAAGGCTAGACATATCATTATGATAACAGTTTTTTTAAATATTTATATTTTTAATTTAAGAACATGTACATCAAAAGGATCAAGGGTTGACAAAAGAAAAAAGTTTGCCTTTAAAACTGACAGAAACGACGGAAGAAGAGGTAGATACTTCAAACCAAGAAACAGCTGAAGTACCACTGGAAGTGGCAGAAAGTGCGCACAATGATGCCATCATTATTCCCACAGGAGCAGATAGTACTGACATGACTGAGGAAATAATTACAGAGGACAGAGTCTTGAAAACAACAGATACGTCGAAGAAAGGTGTAAAAACAAGAGCTGAAAATAGGGAGCTCTTAAGAAAACCTGATAAAATACCGGAAGAATCAGAAATAGAGCTTGATGATGGGACAAGAGGGGGAAAAATTGAAAAGGTTCCAGAACAGGAGAAATTAGGTAAGAACTAAAGTATCAATGTTTGACCTTGCATAGAACTTTGCAGTCTAACGTTTTTTCACAACATGATACTGATATAAACTAGCCAACAACATCTGCAGTCTCAACCATCTGACCATATTTATTTTTGCATTTATTCATGCTGTTATATAAATATAAGAATATATGGTATGATTGCCGATGATAAAACTCTACCAGAGAACTCATGACATATACAAGTTGATTTAAGAAAAATATATACTCTCTTTTCAAAATATTTCAGAGTTCGCGAAAATGGTTGGTCCTGTTGGTCAAAATGAGGCTCGGACCAGTATTTAGGAAGCTAGTGCCGGTCCTGATGACCGATGTAAAAATGGCTGTTGCAGTTCCTTTTTATCGGTAATTAGTTTTACTGCAACTAATTCCAGTACGTGTTTCTATCGGTCATCAGATGTACCTGCTGCTAATTTTCCGGTACTGGTTTCTTATTATAAACAAACTGAAACCAAAGTGGCGATCTACACGTGGCCTGATAGATTTGCTCATGAAGCCCAAACAATGGGCGATTAGATAACAAATATAACCAACGGATCAAAAAACGTTTTCACGAACTCTGATATTTCATTGCAATTTTGATATTACAGAAGATAGAAGTGCCAAGTCTCTTGACAAAGAACTCAGGAGATGTTCTCCAAAAACAACAGAGAAAAAAGTTGAGCAACTTCTTAGATTGACAGTAGAATATAGATGCTCTTATGCCACAACTTTACCAAAGCATAGTAGAGTAGAGGATATGATAGGGACATATCCAGTATTTAAGAGTACTGACATAGTAAGTTTTCTGTATTTCTATCTATAATTTCAATTTGAAATAGCACTACAAATTATTACAACTCGAGTAATATCAGAATACACATATATAATACACCATATATCTATTATAGGATTGCTTTAATATGATAAATAATAAAACACAGTGGTCAAACAATTTAATGTTAAACCATTTACACCTTCCTTATACAATTAAATTACTTAAGATCTTTGCACAATGGGTTTTTTTGTTGAATTAATGAGATGAAACATAAAGCTGAAATAAAAATTATGAGCTAACTATAGTGAAAAATTGTCTTAGGCATTTGTTTACATTCAAAAACTTGAGAATTTTAAGGATTGTAAAAAAAATATGTATACTTTTACAAGTAATTTTTAGGAGCAGATTAAGGGGAGGTTATTCAAACCTTATGAGACAAATTTACTGAGATAAATATATTATTTACTTCTTCAATAAAATGAAAATGACTTGTACAAGAAGTACCCCAGGTCAGTGCTGATTGCACCTTTGTTTTTATTTAAATAATGTTGCATGTGTTCCTATATTTAAACGATATAAATTACATTATTTTGTTATTTAATTTCTTTGTAGCTCATCACCAACCTTCTTGCAACCATCAATTTGGAGGAAAATATAATTTCTCATAAACTCCTTGAAAAAAATTTGAAAAGAATGTCTACAGAGATATTGGACTTGGTGTATTCAAAAAACCTCACCACTGTTCCTAGATCAGCACTGAAATCACAAGGTATTATATATCTTTATTAAATAATAAAAGATGGGTTCAATTTAGAACCATTTTGTACTTCTTTTTTTTAAACAATTTTTAATTAGAACATCTAATTCAAGACTTTTATTATGTATTTTGTAGATTAGGTTATTCATCACAATAGATATAGAGCTAAGACATGCATGAATAAGAACCTTCAATCATTTAAGTGAAAAAATGCACAGCTTTTGGTTAATTTTCAGTTTTTAGACCTGCCCAAAATTACGTATCAATTCATATTTTGACACAAAAATCTTCACTTTTTTCAGCGTACTTCAGTTTTAAAGCACCACATGCTTGTGTGCATGTGCACGCACCCTTGTGTTTGTCAGGTGAATAGTCATGATAATTTTTATGCTATGGAAAGTCATTGCATTTAAATGCTTAAGCAAAATAAAAATACATATGTATTTCTGGTTTCACTTCAATAACACAAAAAAAGATCTGGAGGTTGGGAGCTGACTCATACAAACGTTACTGATAAAAAAAATCACATGTATGATGTTTATACTCGTTTTTTGTTTGTTTATATAGATCAGCAAATACTTGTGGCAATGGCCCAACTGCCTTTAATTCTCGACAAGAGAGAAAAGGGGAAAAGTGTGCCAGTACCACAACTAGTACACATTGTAAAGGTTTGTACAGAATTTGTATTTTTTATTTGTTCATTGTTTTGTTTTTATTTCCTGCTAGAGTGAGTGTATTTTGCAGAACTTGAAGGGCACACTCTCTTAAAGGCATCTATTTACAAAATTCATATTTGTTAGAAAACATTTCATTTTAATGACCAAAGAACATCAAACCTTATGATTATATTATGATTCAATGATAACAATACAAAACACTTTGCAATGTTATTATTATTTTTGAACCTGCATGTCTTAATTAGATAGTTTGAATATTTTATGTTACTGTGACTTGGTTGTAAGTGTTGCTCTCCAGGTAATGCAGTTTATTAAAAAAAAATTGACCTAATTGCAATTTGTTGTATCAAACCAAACTGTACATTGAACTGGTCAGAAGATATAACAATCTGTTGTAGTATACTAGAGTCCAGTCATGAAAGTGCGAGGTGATTTAAAAAAGTATACATACAATCCTTTAAAACTTTAACTCAACTTTCATTGATATTTTGAAACTGATAAGAATTTCTGTACCAAATTATCATTCAGTTCTTACGAAAGATGACTGAAGAATAATTTACACTTTCTTTTCCAGAAAGACGAGATGTGGCAAGAAATAGCTGCTAAGCATAAGAACTCCACATCACCATGGATAATGTACCAACGACATGGCGACCAAGAAATCATAACCGTTATGATTAAACAGTCTATGATTAAAAAGGCCTCATCAGCAGTTAATGCAGTGCTGGCATTGATGGGTATATATTACATGGCAATGTTGCCATACCCTTCAAATTGCAGCGCGGCTCTGCTGTACATACAAGGACAAGTCTTGCTGGATGAAGTTCACAGCAAAGACAAAAGTGTATTTAACAAGGCAAAGGAAATTTTCGAAAACTTCGTTTTGAAAGAAGTTGATTTATTTGCATGAAATCAACATTGATGTTTAACTATGAGACTGACTTGTTTTATTTGTAGGTGTACCACATAATTTTTCATATTTTGGGATAACAGATTTATTGATTAGTTTATAATATTTAAGATACAGAAATAGTAACACACTGTCTTTTGCGTTATTAAAATTAAAATCTCCAAATAATCTGTTGCATTTGTGATCTTGAAAATATAATTCTTAAATTAACAATTAACCAGGTCTGTAAATGTTATTTATCCAAATAACTTACTTTTATGCAACATAATTCAATTTTTCATTTTCTTTTCTGCTTGAAGCATGTAAAAATATATATTTTTTATTACTACTATACATGAGCTGTTAAATTCATGTAAATAGATTTGACCCAAATTATTATTTTTATTTATAACATACTAAAAATAATATCCAGATTTAAAAAAGTGCTGGGCAAAAGTAACAATTAATAATAAAATGTACTTTTGGCATTGGCTTGTGAAAATGCATCTGCATTTGTACTTATTTTAGACAAGACCCAATTTTATATATCAAAATGACCTCCTTTTAGGCTGCAAACCACCATATAACCTTATATCAAAGTAAATTTAAATAGATAGCATTTACAATCAGATTTTATTCTGTATGTTATAAACATATGTAAAATTTAATCATAGTTTTACCTGTATTAGAATGGTTTTATTTGATAGTGAATTTATATTTTATAAGTTGCAAATATCATTTGTTATTTTTGTTTATGCCCATTTATGGGCATTATGTTTTCTGGTCTATGTGTCTGACTGTTATAGCTGTCCCGCTTCAGGTTAAAGTTTTAGTTGAGGTAGTTTTTGATAAAGTTGAAGTCCAATCAACTTAAAACTTAGTACACATGTTCCCTATACTGTAAATTCAGAAATTATTGTGAGGTTTTTATTAATGCGAATAATGCGAGTGGATGAAGATCGCAATAATAAGAACTCGCATTCTGATATCTTATACTTATATCTGTATGCAGATTTTTCTAAAATCGCAATAATTAATCTTGCATTTTAGTCCATCCTTCAAAAATCACAAAAATGCACGCAAAAATTTCTGAATTTACAGTATATGATATGATCTTTCTAATTTTAATGGCAAATTAGAGTTATACCACATTTTCACTGAACATAGAAATTGATAGTGCTGATGTGGCATCTGTGGATAATTTGGAAACATTCTTGTTTTTGTATAATGTTAGGTTGCAAACTTTTGTGTTGACTTAGTATTATGAACATATTTTAAATGTTGCATTGAGTTGCAATTTGATTAGGCAAGGGTTTTATGTACAAGATACAAAGAGTATTTTCAAGGGCTATACCAAATACATTCTTTGTTTTTCAGACACCTACTCTTGATAAAGAGGAGCGATGAGAGATTTTTTTTTTATTCTCAAAAATAATATTGTGAGAGCAAGTGTCTTTGTTTTAAAGAAAAGAAAAGAGGTATATTTTTTTAAGTGAGAGATAAAAATAAACAAATGATTTGTGCTTCATATTTCATGTATTTATGCCTTTATTTCAGTTCTTTAAAGTTTATTTTATAGAATACATTTTGGTTTTTTTTTTAACAAATTCAGTTCACATCAATTAGTCTTCCTCTTTCAAATTTTTTACATAGAAATTTCCATGCTGCAGTTCTTTCTTGGGAAAATAAGTAAAAAGTATATGTCATGTTTGCATGCATGTAGGTGATAGTATAGTAACATGTGCAAATCTTTTAACATATACTGTTGTTTTGATTTTTCTTGTTGAAAAAAATATTGTCATAAGATATGAGTCTTGTGCTTGTATATAGTATACAAATGTATAGCATGGTAAATTTCAATGGCACCATGTACTTTTTGAATGGTATCTTTAGGTGTATATACTAGCTTGTATTGATCGTGTATTATCACAGTCAAATTATACATGCATGCATACTTATTGACTTTGAAATTTGATTGAAACTGAAATTTTATATGTACACATGTTTTACATTTTTGTGGTTTTGTCATTTAGATTTCACAAATCACAGGTTTCCATGAAATTATTTTTTACTGTTATTCCTTGATAGCATTCATTGCTATAATGACAGGCTATAAAAGATATAAATAAGTTGATGACTATCTATAGATGGGCATAGAATTGTAAACTAAATTTTTATTCACTGCTAATTTATAAATATGAAATATAGTTTAATAAAATGCAGACTAGTTCATCCATGCACATGGTAAATACAACATATATATAGGCAGAAATAAGTTGATAATTATGTCCTTTAAAGTAAAATCCTTCTCAATTATAATGTTTTTGTATTATATTAATCTGCATGTCATCATTTTGAATGAGTCCATTTATTGTAGAAAAGTGAATACTTGAGTGTTTTATTAAAAACTGTTTGAAACTTGTAAAAAATAGTAGCTTAAATAAAAAGATTGGAAATATGTTTGTGTTCTAGTTGTAAATTATTTCAATTTTCAAAAAGTGTCTTACTTCATGTATTACATATACATGTATATTTATTGTGTCCTTTTTCATATTTATATTTTAGCAATTGAATTAGTAAGTTATTTATACTACTGATAAACATTGATGAAGATAAGTAATCTCAATCAATTAATTACTTGATAATACTAAGTAAAAGATTCAGTAATAAAATAAATTACCTAATTTCAGTTCTTAGTAATGATATTTCTAAGTAAAAGAAAAGTAAATTTATTACTTAGAATTACTTATTATTAACTGATTACTTAAAATTACTAAAATAATTACTTTCAATTACTAAACTATTTACTTAAAATAAGTAAACAAATTACTTAAAATTACTATAATTTACTTATCTCGATCACCATGATCACTAGTGTGACAATTAATTTTACTAAGTAAAAAACTGTTTGTAATTTTTACCACAGAAACATTTACTTAGTAAATGAATTACCATGTTTTATTAGTAAAAATCTTACTTAAATATTCAATTACTTAGTAATGCTTTTACTGATTGATTCATTTACTTTTACTCAGTAATTGATAACACAAGTAATCGCTATAAGTAATTATGATTTACTTAAAATTACTTAGAATTATTTGTTATTACTTAATGTGATCACTGGTGTGACAAACTTTTTTACTAAAATATTACTTAAAATAAGTAATATTTTTTTTTATTTTTAGTAATTTTAAGTAAATTTTTTTTTTGAGTGTATCTTGAGAACCGTTATGATTTCAAAGTTTATACTTGATATGTATATAAACCAACACCAGAGGGTGTGTCATAATTTATGTACAACTTCCTAGGTCAAAGGTCAAGGTCAAAAACTTTGGTTTCATTTGACAACCCCATGTCCAATGATAAAGATACAAAATTTTTACCACACATTATTCACAGCTGGGCCCACAGAGATGGCTCCCATCTCAATGATATCTAGTTATCAATGCATACATTCACGACGCCTCAAGTAATTTTTTTCTTGTTAAACATTGTTTTTATGTTCACATGATAATAATAAAATCTAATAAAACATATGATTATTATATACTGATTGTTAACCTGATCTGTTTACAGCAATACTTTAATAATTATTGTAATTTCACCCTCAAACCTTTTATTTTCAAATCAAAATAGTGAAATGCCTTGTAAGAATAAGTTGAAACTTGACTAGAAGTACATGTTTTGGCATTTTTTAAATTTCATACATTAATTAACCTCCAAAAAAGGTTATCATAAGCTATAATAAGTAACTTGTTTAATAAAAACTGATTTCAAGAAATCAAATTAAATTCTTATTGATTTATATATAGTCTCCAGTTTTACCTTCTTCACGTCATCAAAATTGTGTTGGTCAGCAATAATTGATAAGATCTGCCTCTGAAAGTCCCAAGTATCTGCCCTTTTGTAAATTTCTACCAGTATCTCTAAGGTCGCCTTCTCGCTTAGATCTGTTTCATCTTCTATCAATAAAGCTGACTTAAGAAATTCACCTCCTCCAGGACAAATGGATCAATAAAGCTGACTTAAGAAATTCACCTCCTCCAGGACAAATGGTGTTGCACATTACATCTAAGCACTGTCTAGCCTTTTCTATATATCTCTGCTGTGTTCTTCTACTAGCATCACTTATCTGACCTTGCAACTCTTTAACAGGACTTAATCCTTAAATCATATCAAATATCAGATTATAATAACCTTATATCTACAAACAATATAAACTGTCATGCTATATTTACACAGAAGGAAATACTACATATATTTATGACAATGTTGATGCAAAAAAATGACAATTTGAACTTAATTCTAGCTGCTTTTTTCAAAGATAAACCAGCAAAGTTAACCAATATTGTTAAAAATAGGTATTGAGATATCAAAGTAAATTATATATAGACCAAGGTATATAAACAGCAGACCAATACATGTATTTTACTTACATTATATCGACTAAACAACTCTCACTTACATTGATGCATATTTTTTTTTAAATCGAAAAAGAAATTTTTCAAGGTGGTACCCAACACCTTGTCTTAATATTTAATTTGGCTCGTTTAATTTTCATAAAAATTTCATTGGTTATATGGCAATTTGACAAACACTAATTTTGATCATTGAGAAGCTTAGTATTTCCTTAACAATACAACGTGATTAAACGTTTAGCTGATTTGAACAGAGTTATCTCCCTGTAGTGTTGGGTACCACCTTAAAATACAAATTGCATAAAAAAAGTTTCCATTACAAAAAAAAAATATTCATACCTGAAAAACTGAGAAGACTGTTCAAGGCTTCCAGCTTCATGGAGTTACAAATGGAGGACTCTGAAGTTTGACTCAAACAAACTTGTTCGCTTTCACATGTTTCCTGACTACATGTATCTTCTAGGATTGAAAATGGATCACTTTTAACTGTAATTGTCTGCAATAAATTCAATATGAGAGAAAATAACATAAAAGTAAAATTCTTTTCTACAGATATTTGATTTAAATGTGTATATAACAATGAATAATTGTATGATAAAGCCCCCATCTATTAGTTTAAATGAATCTTTGTTTTTATTGTATTTTGGTAATGGTTTTTATGCTTTTATTTGGTGTCTTATATATGTAAAAAAAAGAAGACATTTTAGTACTATCCAATGGTTCTTTTATTTGGGGTTTTATTCATATAATAGACATTTAAAGACTTTTTAGTACTATTCTCAAAGTCCTTTTATGTTTAGGATAATTATCCCAATGTTAAAGGTACTTGCTTTCAGATTTTTTGTTTATTTCATTTTTTCCTGTTAAGGATATGTATTGCCATATTTTATGTATTGGATGTTTATTCCCATTAATTATTCCTGTTTTCAATTCAATTTGAATTTAATATTTTTGATATTTATCCCCATGTTTCTTATGGGATGCCTATTCCTATGTTTCATGTTAAGGATATTCATTCCTACATTTCTTACTTGGGATGTTTATTCCTATGTTTAATATTAAGGATATTTATTCCTATGACTCACGTTTTAGATATTTATCATGTTTATTCCCATGTTTCATGTTAAGGATATTATTCCCATGTTTTGTGTTAAGGATATTTATTCCCATGTTTTATGTTAAGGATATTTATACCCGTGGTTCATGTTAAGGATATTTATTCCCATGTTTTATGTTAAGGATATTTATACCCGTGTTTCATGTTAAGGATATTTATTCCCATGTTTTCTGTAAAGGATATTTATACCCGTGTTTCATGTTAAGGATATTTATTCCCATGTTTTATATTAATGATATTTATTCCTGTGTTTCATATTAAGGATATGTATTCCCATGTTTCACTTTTAGAAAATTTATTCCCATGTTTCATGTCACAGATATTTATTCCTATGTTTCATGTTAAGGATATATATTCCCATGTTTTAAGTCAAGGAGATTTATTCCTAAGTTTTATGTTTAGAATATTTATTCCCATATTTCCTTTTAAAGATATTTGTTCCTATGATTTATGTTGAGGTCTGTATTAGGATGTTTATTCCCATTTTCATTTTAAATGACAAAGTTTGTTTGAGGCAGTATTTTCTAAGACAAGGCAGATTTAAATATATCTTTGAAAAAGTTTGGGGTAAACCCTGGTCTTTCTAATTGTGAAGTACTGGAACCACTCCTTTCAAATTGTACCATATCATACTCCTGAATCTTCATTAACAGTGTTCTGCTATTTACCTGTCTTGTTCTTTTGATTGGGCCTGATTAATCAAAAGCTGTAACTTGATCTATCTGAATAAATAAAAATAAAAATGTGTATTTGGACAGTGAAGATCATGATTAGTCTGTATTTCTAATGAAAATCTTTAAAAAAAACATTACCAACATTATGCTAAAAAATTAGCAAGCTCACTTATATAAAACCTTTTTATAACTTTAATTGTTTAATGAACAAAATAGGCAACTTATTAGATAAACTATAACGATTTCAACAAGTAAAATTCATTTTTATGACTTCTTCAGAATCTTTACTTCGTAGATCGAATCATCGTTTAGAAAGATGTGATAATGAGAAGTTGGAACATTATAATATACCTTTCTTGTTTGTTTGTTATGCACTTCAGCAAGGTTGTTCTCATCAAGTATCTGATTTGCAATCTGAAAAAAAACAATAGAATAATACAAAGGTATTGAAATAAAGGTCTTTAAAATGACTCATGCAGAAAACCATAATGTAAAACAATATTTTGCTTCTTACTTTGAATTGTCTCATAAAACACTTGTTTTGTTTGCCTCACCTGTTAAATGAGAAAATAAACTTGTTTACTTTTTATGTAATAGGTTATTTACTTTATCTTTCTTCATCTTTTAAAGATGCTTTAAATACATAATTTTATATACTTTGTCAAGGCAAACAGTTATGTCAAATAGATTTCCAGCCTATACTTAGAACAATTGTTTAATAAGTTTTATACATGTACATAAACTGATCTATTTGTTTAGGTCAGGGCATAATTTATATTTCCCTTGATGATGTCAGATGACAAATCTTGCCATTTTGGTCTGTGTAAAAATTAAATGTTTTTTATTAGGAACCAAACATATCAATTGTAATATCATAACCGTATGTCATTACATGTAAGTAATACATACCTTTTCTTGATTAATAGATTTGTTCACTGCTTTGTTTTGGCCATACCATCATAAAATATATGAGAACATAACCCGTATCATGCCAACAACTGGTTTTAGAATATGTGTTTATTTCTGATGCAAAGACTATAAGTGAAT